ATTTAGTCTACTTATCATTTAGCCTACTTATCATTTAGTCTACTTATCATTTAGCCTACTTATCATTTAGCCTACTGATCATTTCTTCTACTTAATATCATTTCTTCTACCTACCGGTATCATTTCTTCTGCTTATCATTTAGTCTACTTATCATTTAGTCTACTTATCATTTAGTCTACTTATCATTTAGTCTAATGATCATTTCTTCTGCTTATCATTTAGTCTACTTATCATTTAGTCAACTTATCATTTAGTCTAATGATCATTTCTTCTGCTTATCATTTAGTCTACTTATCATTTAGTCTACTTATCATTTAGTCTACTTATCATTTAGTCTACTTATCATTTAGCCTACTGATCATTTAGTCTACTGATCATTTCTTCTACTTAATATCATTTCTTCTACTTATCATTTAGTCTACTTATCATTTAGTCTACTTATCATTTAGTCTACTTATCATTTAGTCTACTTATCATTTAGCCTACTGATCATTTAGTCTACTGATCATTTCTTCTACTTAATATCATTTCTTCTACTTATCATTTAGTCTACCGGTACTTATCATTTAGTCTACTTATCATTTAGCCCACTGATCATTTCTTCTACCGGTACTTAATATCATTTCTTCTACCTACCGGTATCATTTAGTCTACTTATCATTTAGTCTAATGATAATTTCTTCTGCTTATCATTTAGTCTACTTATCATTTAGCCTACTGATCATTTCTTCTACTTAATATCATTTCTTCTACCTACCGGTATCATTTCTTCTACTTATCATTTAGTCTATTTATCATTTAGCCCACTGATCATTTCTTCTACCGGTACTTAATATCATTTCTTCTACCTACCGGTATCATTTCTTCTACTTAATATCATTTCTTCTACCTACCGGTATCATTTCTTCTACTTATCATTTAGTCAACCCGTACGTATCATTTAGCCTACTGATCATTTAATCTACTCATCATTTAGTCTAGTTGTCATGTAGTCTACTAAAAAGTTGTGAATAATCATAACTTATTTGCGATTGATATCAATCCCCATTTCCCAACTATGTACAATGTACATCAGAGGTAGGGGACTGCAGAGTTGCGATTGATTTGGATTAATCACGACTTCTTACAAGATGGGGCCCAGTTCAGTTTTATTTTAGACCGAACTAGAGATGGTCCAACAGTTTTCTTTTCACAATCATTTTTCTTTTAAATTAAAATGGATCAGGAAATACTTCCTTTGCATGGACGCACTCTGAAATGGATGGCCTGATCTTTGGAGTTTGGACCCTCTTTGTCAAAATATGATTGATCTCACACTGTTGACATCATGGCTATTGCTGGTTCAATAAACCAGTGCAATAACAGATCTTATTCAATAACTGTTTATGACTCAGCTCTGTGAATCTGTGTGCAGTATATACAGAGTAGAAGGTCTCACTTATTAGCATTTTGTACACGACAGTAAATGTATGTAAAAACAAACCATGATTTCATTTAAAGGAAACCTCACCCCAAAGAATAAGTGTTGGTATTCTGAAAAATGAGATGTGTTCCTGCCCTTTGATGTAAGATATTCCTTACGAAAATGTACAAGAGATAAAACGAAGTTATACTGTTTATAAGTAAGCTCTGTGAATCTGTATGCTGTACAGAGTAGAACTAATTAGCATTTTGTGCATGAAAGTAGATGTTCATGAAAACATTTAATGGATTCATTTAAATTTGGTTGAATGCTTTTACAGTACACCGTACCCATTCCTCCAAACATCAAGATATTTTTTCCTTGTTTACAAAGCTTTGAACGGTCTTTTGGTGAGGTTTCCTATAAATAATAAATGGTAGCTAGGTAATAAAGACAGCCATTTATACAATGAGTATGTGGTAAAGAGATGTTCTAGTAAATGTATACGAAAAGACGATATGATATGATGCGCTATAAACTGGTCAGTGTATTATTGTTTAATAGGTGAATGAATGAGTTTGAATGAGTTTGGGTTGCTATTTCCTTATAGAGGCTGTGGTAATTGACTACATTGAACTGAGCTGAACGGAGCTACAATGTAGTACGGGGTGGCAAGCTCATTTAAATGTTTCCATGTGCTATATAACAGTCGCTATTGTTGTTTGGGGGACTACAAAATGAGAAGACTGTTGTTTACAATACATCACTTTTACACAAACAATTAAGCTGTAGGCTAAAATTCACCTTGAACTGGTTTTAACTTAACTACCGGTAGGACAAACTTCTTTTGTTTAATCCTAGAACACAACATTTTCCTGCATTTCTGTGATGCAGACAAACTTTTGCTGATTGCTTGAGCTTGGATTTTCAGACATAGAGCAATGAAAAATCAGCTATTTTAGAATAGGGCTTACATGTTTTCTCATGAGAATCGGACTGTATGAGACCTAATGGAAACAAAAAAAGTAGCAGATTACATGTACCGGTACTGTTAGCAAAGTCTGGTGCCTCACTCCAAGTACAGTACATGTTCAAGTACATAATACAGCTCCTACTGTATGCAACACAAGCCACCAACCCTTTTCTACAGAAATGTTTGACACGAGTGTTGTAAATTGTAATATACCACTTATTGATGTATTAAGCAATGATAACAAATAATCAAACCTGATTTTTTTCCCTACTATTTCACCCCTATTCTTGAATGATATATTAAATCAAACATGCTTTTTATTCATTTCATCATTCATCAAGCGCATGGCAGAAGTGTCACTGTCAACTGGTTCACTTGTTTTATGACTCAAAACCACATTTAGCTATTGTGTGAACTGTGAACCCACCGCAGTCTGTCTTATATCCTGGTACCTACAGAGTAGTATATACACAATGTTCATGTACATGTACATCTTGTACTGTATACATGATGTGTACAAACCGCCTGCAAATAATTCACTTACATGTATGTATAAATAGTACCCTCAAAGAAATGAGCACACCCTTAAAAAGAGGCATGGCTAAACATTTATGGGGGTCCTGGGTACAACATGGGCTCCCAAATTCGAATTAACTCTCGACCCAAAAATTTTGAAATTAAAAAAGGGGACACATGCATACTACATGTACATGTTTATGTTATGATGTAGACTGGCATACAATTCCAATTCAGACACCTCAGTGACAATGTTTATAGTGTAGAGAGGCCTGCATGATAAAAACACTAAGATGTTTAGTTTTCAACTGTTTTCATCCCTTGAAAAACAGTTTTATATGATGCCTTTTATAAGCTCTTGACAAACTTACATTGAATTATTTACATATTGGCAAAGAGGGTACTCACTTCTCAGAGGTAATGTATGTGTGTATACAAATTTGAAAGTAAATGTTTGTATGAAGTTATAAATACGAACAGCTACTAAATGAAGTGGCCTTTATCAGAATACTGAGGAAATAAAATACCAGCACCTACTGTACATGAACATGAATGTGTTAATTATGTACAGTATCATGTAAAAGAAGTCTAAATTAAATTGCAGTATCAATAAGCTAAAAGGAAGGCTGATATACATGTACATGTATGAAATCGTAGTGAAGTTTATATAGAAAGTGACTTGCCACAAAAGAGGTGCGCTGTTTACTAGATGTGCAGTAGAAAACATGAATGGTCTACACTCAATTCACCACAAACATTACAGATTAGTGTCTCTGCATACACAGTATGTACATGTACACAACATGAATGGATAAAGGGCCTATAAGTTTTTACATAATGAAAACAGATATCCTAGATGGATTGGTAAGACCATTTCCAATTTTTCATAACGTAACCAGATCTAATGGTTACAAAACTTTCTATTTTCCTTTAAGAAACCATTCACCCTTTATTGTAAATATGTTTTATTTAACCCCTCTATGAAACAACTCTATTCAGAAAATGAAAGTTTATGCCTTTTTCTGTACAGAGCAAAGTAGAGAGGACCTCGCAAGATACATGTACGTCACAGTGGTGCCAGTTCGTGTTTCACTGATGACAACTTCAAAAATGCATAACACTCCTATTTCTAATTGGATATTGCTCAAACTTTCACTATTTTGTTTCCCTCATTTTTCTGCTTTTATTAAAGCCAACTTAATACCAGGGTGGATTTCCATTTTAATCAACAAGCATTCCACTGAAATCCATTTTAAGTTTGATACAAGTGCTCAGTGGGATGTCGGCAAAGTTGATGTTTACAGTATGTTTGTTTAGACTAAATGTTTTCACCAGACACTTCCCTGGGCCCTGTTTCATAAAACTTATCATCAGTATCAAATGCTAAATTTCTATGACAAATTTGCTCTCAGCCAATCAAATGCCACGATTCCAGTAGCTTACAACAGTTTTTGTTACTTGTTGTTGACAACAAGTTTCATGAAACAGGGTCCAGATGTTCAATCTGAAGAAGAGAGCAAGGGAGCGCTCGTCAACTCTGCAAGATTACGTCTTTGAATTCGATGCTCTAAGAAAAGAGTTTATGCTTCCAAGATACCATGCTAGATGTACATGTACATTACTTTCTGGTTTATTTGTTAGTAGTACTCCCTCAAACCACAATCCCTCTTAACATGCAATAATCTATTAAAGGGAACCTGTTTCTCAATCTTTCTTTATGTGAATTTTCACTCAATAGGAATGATATTGATGATATCGTCACAACATTTAATTTCCATTTGGAATTTTGAACATGAATTTGATCATTTAGCAATGCTCATTTATTAAAATTGATGATGAGGGACGTACAAATACGTCCCTTAAGAAACCAATGCCAGGAATGGTTAGAGGTACTAGTGGCATGAATGGCCTGCCATAGTTAAGTTCAACTTAAAGTCGATCTTAGTCTTTGTGAAACATTCGCCTGCAGTCTCTACAAGGTCCTGAGAGAGCAATTAGAAATTTACTATCATGACAAGGTTGATCATGCAGAAGTTTTACTTGCATCCCAGTATTTGAGAAACAGGTCCCCATGGAAGCAGAAAGATAAAGTATTAAAGGACACTCACCGTATTTACGCCTGATTTCGTCATTCTTGACCTTGCGTTCCATTTTCCTGCAGAAGAATAAAATGTATGGGATGTTGGTTTTCTCCTAGCATTTAATCACTCAGTAAAACATTACACTATCTTGGCTCAGTAGTAGAGCAGTGATCACATATTAACCTGGAGGTCCCGGGTTTGAAACCAAGTCGATGCGCTAGTGCCCTTCGGTAAGGCATTTAATCCTCATTACCAAGTACTTTGGAGTGGACTTCAAGCTGTCGGTCCCTAGGTTGCTTACTTACAAGCATACTCATGCTTTCTTAGCAGTCAGGTAAAACAAACCATCAAACCAAAGATCTTGCCAGGGTTTTAAAGGAGATACTGTATGAAAGGACAGCAAAGGTTGGGGTTTCTGCATTATTTTTTAAATTGCCTCCATGTTTCAAGTACGAAAGGTAGGAAACTGGAAACCTTAAAGACCACACAGTTTAATGACACATACTACAGTGTATATGTATGTATTCCCATTTCAAGTAGAATATACAACTGATTGTTATGCTTGAAAATTCTGATGAATGACTTTATTATGGCTTTAAAAATTTAGCAGCAGATGTTTCTGCATTTATTGAAAACTCAAATACAACATATCTAAATAACAAAAAAAGTATATAATATAATTGATTTTAAAAATAAATGTGACAACTGAAATACAACAACAACAAAAATGGGCACATGATGCTGTTTTGACTTACTTCTGCTCATGCTTCATCTTCCTTTCATCCTTCTTCCTTTCTTGAGAGGCATCTTCACGGGCCCATCTGATGATGAGAAAGAAATAATTATAGAATTACAATATTGTCGATAAAGCCCTTCTATCCGCAAAGTCGTAAATATTATCAACTAGCTCCATAATCATTGTCTTTAGCTGGGCTCCGATTGTTAAGGAGGGGAGGAGGAGGGAAGAGTATATCGAGAGGGATATAAAGATAGTGCTACGCAGAGAAGGAGAAAGAGAGAGAAAGAGAGAAGAGAGAGAAATGGATAAAGAGTGTGTGTGTGTGTGTGTGTGTGTGTGTGTGTACGTGTGAGAGAGAGAGGGAGAGAGAGATGCAGAGAGAGGGAGAAAGAGATGCAGAGAGAGAGAGAGAGTGATATAGAGAGGGAGAAAGAGAGGGAGAGAGAGAGAAAGAGAAAGAAACAGATAGAGAAACAAAAAACTAGAGGAATACTGGTAATCAGACATTATTAATGATCTTTCCTAATCTCTCTCAAGCAAACAACTGATTCGTTATTGATGTTGTAGTCGTCACCTCTTCATACTAGGTGAAAAAGATAATTGGATGGTGTGTTTTAATAGACTACAGTGTAAGTTGGAAGAACAATTTTTTTCTTCCAGAAGCAGAAACGAATAAAAACATATAGAAGTTTCTTCCAATAGAACATGCTTATTAAAGGCTGCACAATAAAAAAAAAAATTATACTCAACATTTAAGAATTAAAAGTTCTTTTTAGATAATTATTTAGAAACTTTGTGACAGACACAGTACAGGTCCATTGGAAAGATGTAAGCAGTACCTACAATACATGTACTATGTCCATGTTAACAAAGTTGTAAATGGTATTCTAATCTACAGGAAATCAAGCTTCTGAGAAAGTGGGCTTACTTTGCTTTGTTTCCTGAGCTTCGACAGCAGCAGCAGTAGATCCCACAAGGCACACCGATCAGAATCAAACCAGCAATCACACTCATTGCGATGATCAACGCCTCAAAGTTGACTGGATTAAAGAACAAGGACAGATGAGATGACGGACAATAACAAATTATTCTAGAAAATTGTACATTCAATGATAATGACGCAGTTTGTGGATTAAAGTTGCAAAAAATTGATGACAGATAAAGATACTGAACCTGATGCTGGAAAAGCATAATAGAATTCAGGAATCAAAGCTTAAAGAGTGATAGAATTATTAGTGTAACCTTGACAGATTGAAGACTTTCAGCTACATGTTCCTTGAAAGATCATGCCTCAATTCAAGAATAAAGGCAACAAATGATTTACCAAAGGATAGATTAACAATAAAAACTCCCGGCACTGTCTCAAACTCTCTGTTTAACGATTATGACACGAGTTGAGAATGAAAGCCTCGAAAGTGAGAGATTCAATGATAGTCTAGATTAATAATATAACACTCTGAGAGTCTTGTAATTACATGTACAATCATGAGGAAGGTTGAGGTTGGGGAGGTTGGGGAATCAGGTCATAGATATCGAAGGGATTAATGACAGCTCAGATTAACACTACACGTACCGGTACAACATTCTTGCACCGTTTTAATATTTTTCTGTAAGATCCAGAGAAAAGTAAGGAATCATATATTCAGGAGAGCCTTGTACTGCAGAAATAAGATATGGCAATATCCACTGCAAATCCCTTCATCGTAACACAACCTTCATAAGTTATCCCTGAATTTTGATTGGTTGACTCAAGGAGCTTACAAAACTCCTTGGTTGACTTGAAGGCCTATCAATTTTTAGACTAATACAGAACAAATTCTCAGTATAATGTACTATTAAACACACGTACATATATCCCTCCAGTCTAAAAAAGAATGAAAAAAGGAGAATTTTGTACGGTATTAACTTTCAAGATCTTGAATGAAGATGTGTACAAGTCACTAGATATCTCTTTTCTGACAGCCCCCCCCCCCCCCTGAGGCGATCCATGGTCGGAAGGGGGGGGGGGATCTATCAAGTTATCAGGTGTTACTCTCCCAAACCGTTATTCCATGTAGACTAGTAAACTGCACGCTATGCAAGTATTGTGCATTATACTAGAAATTATAAATTTATCGAGGCAAGGGAGCGAGGGGATTCACAAATCACAAGTACTTTCTTCACTCTTGATCTTCATAAAACATTTATCTGTCATCGTGCATGTGAGAGTAGTCTCTTATCCTCTGTTGATAGTTTTTTTGATGTAACAAGTATTAGTCAGCTGGCATGAATCACTCATTACTGCAACGCCAGACTGATCAGATGCTCCTCATACATGTATCAGTCCCAAATGAGAAGATATCACTTAATTGGTAAAGGCAAAAAGGGAGAGGGAGAGACAGAGAGAGAAAGAGAAGCGGTGAGATAGAGGTAGACGTGTGACCATCTAGAGGAAGAAGAGATTGTTAATTTCAAGGAAGTGAGTAAAGTGATTAACTAAATACAATTAATCATGTGTTATGTCATTTGTTATTAATACATACTAAATCACGGAATAACGGAAGAAAGTATACAGAGAGAGAAAGAGAGAGAGCTCTAGAGAAAGAGGGGAAAGAGAAAGAGAGAGAGAGAAAGAAAGAGAGAGAGAAAGAGAGAGAGGGGGAAAGAGAGAAAGAGAGAGAGAGAGAGAGAGAGAGAGAGAGAGTAAGGAGAAAGAAGTAAGAATATATGAGGATATCAATACACTGTGATACCAAGAATTTATTTCCTTATTAGTCCTAATGCTACCTGTAAGGAAAGGGGGGGGGGGGGAGGGAGGAGGTGTCGCATACTCACTCAAACAGGTGCCCCATCTTGCCTGGCTCAAAGCACACTCTTTGTTTGGTAGGATGGATGAGGCTGGGTAGAGACGACATTCCTTTGTTGCCAGACAGTAATAACACTGTAATGTAAAAAAAGCACAACAATTATTAAAAGTACTAAGTTGTATAAGATTTAATAATTAGTTTTTTCTCTACAACAATTGGCCATTTTCATGTATCCCAAATTCCAAATCTATACTTATCTGCATACCTGCCAACATTTGAAAATAAGATTTTGGAATTTTTAGAACGATATGCCTTCGAAAATAAGAAATCGCACTTGCAGCGGCAGTGTAACTGGCAATACGCGGTAAGTCTGTACCAAAAAGTGAATACAATTCACTACTCGATCATGCAGCTATCGACACACGCAATACGTGAACTTTCAATCGCGGCACATGATAAAACAAGCTTATTTTGGCTTAAGCACACACACTCACACCCCCTCAAAAAAAAAAAAAAAAAAAAAAAATTAAAAAAATTCTCAATTTTCAGGTCCTAAAAATCCAGAAAATCAGAATATTCTGGATTATTCGGAAGGATTAACTAGCAGGTATGCTTATGTGCCTCGATACAAATTATTTAATTCACTGCAATGTCTTCAACAGAGGGTTTGAAGTTGTAATTTATATAATAGTTCATTTATTTCTGTGAAAGCATCAAAATGTAATTGAAACCATTGTTTTCAGTGTATTATTGACCAAGAAGGGAAAATGGGAAGCTACTACTGTACATGTCAATTATAATCACTCTTTTCCCTTTTCTCATAACTAGCACTATTTAGTTCTGTCATACATATTCTGATGTTCATAACAGTGCTTGTGCTGGTTTGTTGTATAAACAGACTGGCGCCAGTTAAAAATATAATACACACAGCTGCAATGTCATAATAAAGACAAAAAGAGCTACATGTATGATAAATTAGACAAATGTTAAGTATCTATTAAAGGCTTGCCATGTTTTTCTTAAACTTAAACATTTGAAGAAATATTTTTACAGAACATACCTTTTTGAACTTCAGAAAGTGCAAACTAAAAAGTTCATTGGAAATGTACAATAAAACAACAAACAAATTAACAAACATAAAAACAAAAACAAATCTGTATAAATTAGGCTTATGAAGAATGACAGACATCAAAGCTCCGAAACAAAATAGTTTGACAAGCTTGTTGGGTGCTATAAATGCTTGTAATAATTTTGTTTAAAGCATTGATTTTGTTGACTGTTTCAATAAAAAACATTTGGCAAAAAGATTGCTTTTAAAGAAGAAGACTTACTTTTGCTTTTGGGGCTTTCACACACTCCTCACATGTTGCATTTAGGCTTTGACATTCTGCAAAAGAAAAACAAATATTGATGAGATCAAGCATTACATTTTCAAAAGATTTCAGATGACAGCAAAACATACAAGAAACTTGTTACTAGTTACGGTACATGAAGGCAAGAAAAGGAATTTGGTAATGCCTCCTCCCCCCCCCCCTCCCCTTCCTCGAAAATGGCAGGAAACAATTACAAAATGTTTCATCATACCTACATGTCATGTACACTGTACACAAATGTACATGGGCAAGTGTACTGGTAGGTCTTTGATATTAGTTTTTAGATAGCATGATGCTTACGTTTTTAGTCTCTGCAAATTATTGACATATCTTTGCAGGAGAGGGGAGGTGTGACTGTCTGTGAGGCGAAACGCTGAATAATTACAACGACTCAGGTTTTTACGGGAATGTCAGTTTATTTTAGAGTCATAACCATCAAGGGAAATGCAACTCTGTCTTTGACGAACGAATCTTTTATCTTTACTCCTTTCACTGCTTTATTCCGTTCTTCTTCCCTTCATTCCGTGAAAACTGTACATGATAAAGCATAATAGGAATGCATAATAAGTATGTGTTCATGAATATAAGTTTCACAATATTAAAGCAGATATAGCATTCTACTAAATCAAAGGCATTGTCTGAATTATAACTCCTTTTCATGTTTGCTTGTAAATCTTATATAAGTCAGACACTGTCTTGACAAATCTATCTGAACTTTATGTAGAATGTCACAGCTAACGCACAATTAAACTTATATCATCTCTATCATGTCTAAACCAGATTTAACACGGTTTCAACTAAAAATGTGACCATATTTAACGAGCTTGAATGACTTTATCATAGTCAAGGAATACAATAACAAAGTCATGACCTTGACCTTTCATTCACACAAATATGCTCACATTCCTCATCCCTTTTCATCATAGAATGTCTTATTCTGCATCATACATTTTACTTGACTATACTTCTTTCAACTTTAAGTAAAACTAAACATCAATTATAGATGTAATGACATATTAAATGTGCAATAGATATCTCTAGTCTATCCTATGTGTGGGTACACAGTATACACATGTTATACATTTGCCATACAAATTACTGTGCTACTGTGTAAGTTACATACAATGTAAACATCTTAAAAACTACCTTTTTTACATTCATTTTCATAATGCTCAAATATGTGGTTTAACTAACCTCTGTGCCTCCATAATACTGTAGGAAACAGCTCTCAGGAACAAAGGATGCTCCAGAAAACCACAGATTTTCCTCACAAAACAGAAATCATGTTGCAAACATGATCATTCCAAATCAGCCAACAACAGGTGGCGCCAAATAAGTTTCTGACCTTCAAACTAGAAAAACTTAAGAACTGTCAAAGTAATCTTTGACCAAACGCCCTCTGTAGTTCTATTATTGCAATGTCAAGCTAAATCAATAAATACTATATAAAATGACTTTAACTAGCAAATACAAAATTACAACTTTCACATGGCTCCTTTAAATTAGATACTAATTTACCAAACAGTACGAGTTGTAAAATTAACTTTCTTCGTTATCGAACTATAATGTGCCTTTAAGTTTCTGTTTAGCGGACTAAGTGCTATAATCATAAAGTAGATGATTTACATCATACACTAATTACCATTTCAAATGTAATGCATAACTTGTAAAACTTTGTCACTATACTACCATTACAATTAGCATATATGGAATTCTATCTAAATACCTTCTAATTACCTAGCAAGGCATATGAATGTCTATATACCTGCAATATTAATTCTACAATATCAGTCAAATGATCAATTTATAGCATGGAACTCAAACTTGTCCAAAAATGATTCCCTAAATCATTTCTTACAAACAGTTTCTACCAGGAAAAACCCAGCTATTTTCATACAGAAAGAGTCTGTTATTTTAAACCAAAGAAATGAACAATTTTCCAGCCAATTTTGCGGCATTCCCCTGGTGCTATAAATTGAACATACTTGTTCACATAACATCTTGTACATAGAGAATTCCCAAAAGAATAACTGCCTTTTGTTTCTTACGAGCGACTCTGACTTTAGACTTGACCAATAATACTCGACTAGTCTTGCTTCAGTCCTTTCCTACAAATTTGTTACTAGACTCAGTTTCAGACTTTACCAAATAAATTTGTCTTCTTCAAAAATCAAATTGTCCATCATATAATGAACATAAAGTTAGTCTTGCTTTTAGACTCTATGAATAAATATTCTTCTCTGTGCTAGTCTTTTACTCAGACCCTAAATTCAATATAATTAGTCTTTACAAAATCCATAAATGTCTAGATAATGACTTTCTGCCATAAACAAAAGTTCCATAAACCTCCGGTTCCTTAGAGTTCAAATGAGGTCATTTAAATGAGTTCCAAATCTCATACTTAAACTGTTAAAATGTAAATTCCCTTGTTTGTTACTATAAATGTTCTTGGCTCCTTGGCTGGGAATTACACTTGGTCTTCTTGCGGTACTAATAAAACCAATTTGTGAATTGGGCGGTCAAGGTAATAGACAGTGGAGAGTTTCGCTTTCCCTGTCTATTCAGTTCTGGATCACCCACTGTGATCTTCACCTTGCGGACATGGCCATCGTCAGACGCGAACACTTGAGCGATTCTTCTCAGCGGCCACGAGTTTCTAGGAATGTTATCGTTCTTCGTCGGCACGATGTCGTCTAACTTCATGTTGCGCTGTGGCTTCGTCCATTTCTGCCATGACTGTAGTTGGCTCAGGAATTCTTTCCTCCATCGAGACCAGAACTTCTTGGCTAGGTGTTGTACTCTTCTCCATCGTTTCTTGGCGTACACATCTTCTCGTGGAAAGTTACCTGGCGGCGGTAATATCACCCTTGATTTCTGAGTCAACAGGTGATCTGGAGTTAGCGGTACTAGATGAGTCGGCTCATCAAATGAACCCTCTGCTCGCTTTAATCGTCCTCCAACCCGTAAAACTCCCCTTTCCATTTTCATCTTGTCTGTCAGTGGATCATCCCAGTCAGCACCTTCTCTGCACAATTCCTGAACACTCTGTCTGCCTCTCAATGTCACTGGAGCAATCAGTCCAAGAGGATCGTAGAGTGACATGACTGTTGAAAGCACTCCTCTTCCGGTGCATGGCTTGTCAGCAAATGTGATGCGAAAGTTGAAGGAATCTGATTCTATGCACCACTGCAGACCTATGGCTCGTTCAATCGTCAGCTCATCGTGTAGTAGATTGAGTTCTTTCACACACTTGGCTCGTTCTTCCATAGGCACTGCCTGCATTACCTCTCTTGAGTTGGAAACAATCTTGTGCAGGTGCAGTTTTCCTTCCTTGCAGAGCACTCTAGTCTGTGTCATCAAGTCGACTGCCTCTGCTGATTTGGGAACAGAGATCAAACCATGGACCACGTATAAGTCACTGTGTACGAAGTTTGCTGCAGCTACACACTTGTCTTTGTGGTCAGTTACAGTTTTCTTTCGTCCATAATTCGCACACCCTGGTGATGAGGCAGCACCAAACAAGTGTGCCTTCCTTCTATAGTGATGAACTGGTTGCTGGTAATCACCATCAGGCCACCACACATCACACATGAAGGCTGGCCTTTCCATCCGGAATCTGCACAAGACGCCAGCCAGTGCATTTGTCATTTCCGGTCCTGTCATCAAATGTTCGTTCAACGATTCTCCTTTATACTGAACACTACAGTCAAAGACGTCTCTCAATTTGTTCGGTTGTTGAACGCCGTGATGTGGAATGTACCAGACTGTTTTCTTGTAGTCCATGGGTTCTGGTACATACTCTGAATACTCATTCTTGATGAGAGCATCCATTACCTTGGTGTAATGTTCGTGATAGACTACATCCTTTGTGAACTTCCGTCTTAAGCCTTGTAGCATCATCTTGGCTTGGAACACATTGCTTGGCATCAACGGTTCCTCCATCTTGAGTGGTAGTGGCATTTCGTAGTGCCCATTATCCGCAACATGGATGCCATCTTCCATTACTTTCAGAAACCTTTCATCATGCTGCGAATAAGGCCTCTCATTCGTGTCTGCATTGAAACCTGCTTCCATAGGTTTCACGATGTGGCTCGGGTTGATATCTTCCTTTACGGCGATAGACTGTGCCAACACTGCATCGGACTTCTGATGTTTGTTGACACCATGTAATTCAGTGGAGCCTATTAGATCCTCTGAACTGCCTTGATAGTTGGAGTCCACTGTGCCGATGATACTCCAACCAAAATCGGTCTGCGTCCCGAAAGGTCCGTCTTCGTTGTTGGTGACAGCTGGCGGTCCGTTGTCAACCCTTTCTTTGCACCTGTATTGATAGGAGGCAGTGGAGGAGGCCTCTGAGGCCACATTACCACGTAAGAGAATCAATGTCTTTGCGGCTTCTTTCATCAAGCCGAATTGCTTTTCCTCCATCACTTCAAGCTTGTCCTCGCTGTCGTCCTCTTTTGACAAGGCAGCTGTTACTTCTGCCAGCGTTTCCTGAGTTGCGATGGCGTTCTCGATTGCTTGTTGGGTGCCTTTTCGACCATCTCTAATTATTGATGATTCTGAGTTTTCATCACTTAACAGTTTCATCAAATTGTTGGCTGTTTTCTGCCACGTTATTATTGCATCCTTCCAGTTCTTGGTTGCAACGCCAAGCTGGTATTGCAACACCTTGTCGGTTGCAACTGCTTCTCCTGATGATCTTGTTTGACCCTCAGCTGATTGTTGTAACACCTTGTCGGTTGCAACTGCTTCTCCTGATGATCTTGTTTGACCCTCAGCTGATTGTTGCAACACCTTGTCGGTTGCAACTGCTTCTCTTGATGGTCTTGTTTGACCCTCAGCTGATGGTTGCAACACCTTGTCGGTTGCAACTGCTGTTTGTCCCTCAGCTTCTGGTTGCAACACCTTGTCGGTTGCAACTGCTGTTTGTCCCTCAGCTTTTCCTTCTCCTTCTATCATCTTGTCTGATCGTTGGAGAGAGCTTACTTGAAGAGCCGAGAGGCGGTTTAACTCAGGAAAAGGTTGGCTATTTCCCTGAGTTCTTTTCACTCTTCTGAGAAAGAGTTTTCACTGTGACTGTCTGTGAGGCGAAACGCTGAATAATTACAACGACTCAGGTTTTTACGGGAATGTCAGTTTATTTTAGAGTCATAACCATCAAGGGAAATGCAACTCTGTCTTTGACGAACGAATCTTTATCTTTACTCCTTTCACTGCTTTATTCCGTTCTTCTTCCCTTCATTCCGTGAAAACTGTACATGATAAAGCATAATAGGAATGCATAATAAGTATGTGTTCATGAATATAAGTTTCACAATATTAAAGCAGATATAGCATTCTACTAAATCAAAGGCATTGTCTGAATTATAACTCCTTTTCATGTTTGCTTGTAAATCTTATATAAGTCAGACACTGTCTTGACAAATCTATCTGAACTTTATGTAGAATGTCACAGCTAACGCACAATTAAACTTATATCATCTCTATCATGTCTAAACCAGATTTAACACGGTTTCAACTAAAAATGTGACCATATTTAACGAGCTTGAATGACTTTATCATAGTCAAGGAATACAATAACAAAGTCATGACCTTGACCTTTCATTCACACAAATATGCTCACATTCCTCATCCCTTTTCATCATAGAATGTCTTATTCTGCATCATACATTTTACTTGACTATACTTCTTTCAACTTTAAGTAAAACTAAACATCAATTATAGATGTAATGACATATTAAATGTGCAATAGATATCTCTAGTCTATCCTATGTGTGGGTACACAGTATACACATGTTATACATTTGCCATACAAATTACTGTGCTACTGTGTAAGTTTCATACAATGTAAACATCTTAAAAACTACCTTTTTTACATTCATTTTCATAATGCTCAAATATGTGGTTTAACTAACCTCTGTGCCTCCATAATACTGTAGGAAACAGCTCTCAGGAACAAAGGATGCTCCAGAAAACCACAGATTTTCCTCACAAAACAGAAATCATGTTGCAAACATGATCATTCCAAATCAGCCAACAACAGGTGGCGCCAAATAAGTTTCTGACCTTCAAACTAGAAAAACTTAAGAACTGTCAAAGTAATCTTTGACCAAACGCCCTCTGTAGTTCTATTATTGCAATGTCAAGCTAAATCAATAAATACTATATAAAATGACTTTAACTAGCAAATACAAAATTACAACTTTCACAGGAGGGGTGGGCCCTCATCAGGCCTAAATGAGGGGCATTTCAAGTTTACATGTAGATCCTGCTTGTAGATTAAGCTGCATTTAGTTTTCTTGGCAACGTGGATTACAAATACACGTATACGGCAAGTGTTTGAAAGGAGACTACATGTGTAATTTGTTTCCTTGAACCTTGCCAAGAGTTTGCTTGGCTTTCAAAACCTGATTGTTTCAATATCAATTTAAAGAGTACTTGTAATCTTCTTGACATTTGACACAGAATACAATATTGTAATATACACCTGTACAATGTACCATACATTGTAAATATATTTGCAAGGAGGAGATGAAGTGAAGGGCAGATGTTTTTCAAACAGTCTTTCTGATAGTCTGACTGCCACCAAACATTAAAACTGTTAATTGCTAATATATTTTTGTACACACTGCACATGCAAATGCATGGCTCTGTTACATTGGGCATGTAAAGTACATACATGTACATTTAGAACATCACAAAATGTTGATTACAAGGTTGCCATGTACATGTACATGTACATGTACAGTAAGGCCATTTTGTATTTTTGCAATTCCTTGTTAGAACTTGAAAAGTTATACAAATTACGCTGTGCTTTTCGTTGGCAACCAATGTAAAAGTGCATGTACAGTACATTGTATATTGTTGGCCTGTTATTGGTACAAGGTCCACACACTTCCTGCTCACATTGTAAACCAATGTACAAACAATTCTAAACAACACCCCCTAACCGTGGAGAAACAGCAATAAACAGCCCAAAGTGCGCTTTAAATTATTCACAAGGGATGTTTGAGCTCAATGGCCCCGAAAATTAGGGCTTGAATATACATTGTTAACAGAAAATCAATGAGTACATGTACTGTACATGGAGATGTGCATTGTTCTCATTGTGTTTGAATACTGTTTACTGTTTATATCATGTCCTTGTCAACTCTATTTTGGAGGATACAGCCTGTAGTCTCTAGCAAGGCTTTGGGCATAATCTCAAAAGTAACCAACAGTAAAATTGGAACAACGCCAATGTTGTAGCCTACACAGTAGGCCGTAAAGATGCAACATGTAGGATTACCATAGTGCTATGGGTTTGATTATTCACTAACTCACTAATGCAATGGGAAAATCATATCCATGGAAAAAAGGAACAAGTATGTGATCAATGAATAACTGAGCATGAAATAAAGGCTAAGTTGATTTATGTAGGGCAAACTGCTCTCTTTGTTTAGATGAGAGAACAAAAGGATTGGGGGGGGGGGGGCTATTACGTGGACATGTAAGTGTACTGATCCATAATGTGGAATATGAGTCATCAAGAGCTTACTGGTACCTGTACATCACATGACCTGAGCAACATCGAGACATTTCTCATAGAAATGTTTTTTGTTTTTGAGGTAGAAAATGAGAAATTTGCAGCAATACAGACAATATTACATTCACACAGTGCTCTCGTAATGCGCATGTATAAATGTAGACATTTTGAAAATACCTCTTCTTTTCACTTTCAACTCCTTTTGAGTTTTACTGCTGTAGACAACTGTACTTCTTTGTTATGTCTGAAGCAACTCATCATTTTTTGTAGCAGTTTTGTCTTAAATTGCCAACTGGAGACTAGCGGAATGGGGAGGGGGGGGGGGGGGGGGGGGGGGGGGGGGGGGGGGGGGGAGGGGAGGAGGGAGGAGGAGGAGGAGTAGCGTACATGTACATGCACACTGTACAGTACTACGGTACTAGTTTGTTTGCTTTTATATTACCTATCATTTCTATTTTGAAATTACTTCCTTTCTATGTTTCTGTGTGGTTTCTCATGTTTGCACACCGATTAATTTTGCATGCATAGTTGGGCACGATTCCAATACACATTCCTTTTTGATGAGTTCATGTGATTTCTTGTGTTTATGCTGTATTTTTGTCCAAAATGTCATCATTCCCATTTTGATGGCCTTCATGTATCAATAATTTGGTTTTGTCCTGGGCCTGTATTCAATTCAATACTTGAGTACAAAATTTAAGCTTTTTACTTAGTATTTGGCTTAGATAAAATACTTAGCCAATTTTGGTATTCAATTCAAACTTTTGGCTAAGTATTTTACCCTAAACTTAAGACAGTTCCCTACCAGACTTGGGTAATACAAAGTTTTGGGAAATTTTGAAATTGGGTGGATAGTGATTCTTTACAATTTTGATAAATTTGGATGCCCCTGTGGATGTATTATAAGCGCTAGAAAATTTAGCCTCTAAAACAATTCTGCTTTCGAGAAAAATTGAATATAACAATTTACCGGTGCTCCCGGTAAATTTTGATAAATTTTTGAATAGCGCCTACGGCTGTATAATGGTAGCTGCGAACATGAAAATCTCAGACTATGTAGTTGTGATATATAATTTCTAAACGGGAATAGCTAATCGGTCGATTTTAGTCAAGAAACATTGTTTTATAGCTTCCCGCCACCCAAATCTGAAAAATTGAGTATCTTACGCATACATGTATCTGTAAGAAATATGGGTACCATAAAATGAGCTTTATTTCAAGTATTTTTCAGATTTAGAGCCCGATTTTGTATTAGTCGCAAGCTCAAAAGTATCTCACCGCATGTATTAAATCAATGCAGCCGGACACCGCTACGCACACACGATATACACTACCGCTCAAAGGTTTTGGCATCGGTTCCGCTCCGTAAACCGCACCGAACTGTGTACGGTGAACGGCGAGGATCCGTTCACCGTACGCCCAACTTCGGTTCCTCACCGTTTGCTCACCGTTTGCTCACCGTACGCTCACCGTTTGCTAACCGAGGAATTGTGGTTAATAACAAAAAGAAATGTGCGCGCTAAGTCTGCGAGCGCGTATCCAAAGAACTCTCAAAAGTTGCACACGCGTACGCGGAAAGTCAAGTTATTTGTTTTATTTTATCATACCGATGCGCGCTTGCCACTGACGTCACAATCAGTTTATTATTACATCACAATAGTGTAAAAGAATACTCTTTTCATTCCGAGCATAAACACAATAATGATACGAAAATGATTATTTACTTGATGTCATTCCCGACAGAATGATACGAAAATGATTATAAAGTTGATTTCATTGCCAAGACAATGATACGAAAATGATTATTTACTTGATTTCATTGCCGACAGAATGATACAAAAATAATTACTTAGTTATTTTTTTGCCGACAGAATGGTTCAAAAATGATTATTTACTTGATGTCATTGTCGAGAGAATGATACAAAAATTATTATTTACTTGATTTCCTTGACGACAAAATGATTAATTAGTTGATTTCATTGGCTAGACATTGATACGAAAATGAATGTTTACTTGATTCCATTGCCGACAGAATGATACGAAAGTGATTAATTAAATGATGTCAATGCCGACAGAATGATACGAAAATGATTATTTACTTGATGTCATTGCCGACAGAATGATACGAAAATGATTACTTAGTTGATTTCATTGGCTAGACATTGATACGAAAATGATTATTTTCTTGATTCATAACATAAATAAAAATGTGTGTGTTATTGTGAGTGAGTCATGTATGGGGATTTCTATTTTTTGATCTGTATGAATGGAAATTGCCGATTGACTGACTTGATTCCACAAGTTCGGACGTACTGCACATGATGGTCGTTCACCAGACTAGAAAGGGAAAGGTAGCGCGTACATCTACATAGGCTTAGCCAACCAGGCATTGTTTGTAATTAGCTGGAAAAAAATGTTCTTTGATAATGAGAAATAACGAGTTTGGGTTGGATTTCACAATACCATCATTATTTCAGAATAATTGTTGAATATTTAAATAACGAAGAGCCTTTATTTCAAGAGGTAAAAGCAGCCACAAATACATTGAACATTATAATGGTCTGATAAACTTAAACTACCCCAGCGTGTAACCTAGTAACCCGAAGACAAAACAAAAGCAAGCAAGTTCATTCATCGATACGCGAGGCACGCAAGTTTGATAATTACATAGGACATGAGTTGTTAAAATATTCCCATACCGCTTTGCTCATTCTGGTTTGAAAATACAAACGACCCAACTAAGAATAAACAAGCAGCTGCAGATTTTTAAGCTACAGATTGATAAAGTATTGCATACTTACCTGATTCTATGACGGGATCCCACTTTTAGAATATCCATGTTTAACGATAAATCCGAAAATCAGATGAAAGTTATCCGAAAGATTAATTCCCTTACACACGTCGTTGGAACCATCAATGGTATAGAAGCTAAAAGTCTAGTTTCGGACACAAGAATTCCATTTTAAAACCACTACAACAACGATTCGTACCATCTCGTTCTATCTCGAAATGCTGATTTTCAGATGACAAGTTAGCTCTTCTCATTGGCTAAATAATAATTTGCAAGTTTATTTTTTAAAGCAAATATTTGCTTGTTTTCAGTTGTCATTTATGGTATGACGTCTGAATTGGCAGACTATACAAGCCCTTTCAGTTTCAGCTGGCTGGGGCGTGTCATATTTCTTAGATAAGAACTGTCGAAACATGTCTGGGAAATGTAATCACGTAAAGGAGGGAGAGAGAAGGAGAGAGAGAGAGAGAGAGAGAGGGAGAGGGAGAGGGCAGAGAGGGAAGTAGAAAGACGGGGTAAGGTAGAGGTGTGGAGGACAGTGACCTCATGTCATTTACTTGTTAATCAATCAATGTCTGACAGGACTTGTAAACATCCATGAAGGGTGATGTCTTCAGATGACCAATCAAAGAATAAAGGATAAAAGGGAAGGGAAATACATGTAGATATTAAAGATTAAATGATATCAGAGATAGGAAATATATGGAACGAAGAGGCGACTGTAACGGAATAAAGTATACAAGGAAATATTTAAATAGATGGGAAGAATCAGAAACTGGATAAGAATAAAGGATTCGTGGGAGAGGAAATCTACATGGGAGGAAGAGGAGACTTGATATAAATAAAAGGGTAATAGGACGAACACCCCCGGCCAAGGCAGTTATCCCCTCCCCC